GGCGGCGGATCCAGAATTATGGTAACACGGCCGGCTGGCAACCTGGGCAAGTGTTGATCTAGGTTCATATTAGGGCGTTCTTACCAGCCTTGCTGTGGGAAATTCGTGGTGATTTTGGTGACATTCTGTTCGTCAAAATTCTGGCAACGAGTGCTTGCTGAATTTAATTGGAATTTGGTTTCCTCGCTGAGTTATTAGCCGAGATCTATTATCATATTTTATTCTGAAGGACAGGTAAAACAGAAATTTACGAAATTAGACATAGAATACACTTCTTTTTCTTCTCATCATCCCTGACCGTTTTATTTCGGTATTCGCTGCCTTTTTAGCAGTACTTTTTAAGCTTTCCTTTATATACCGAGGAACTGTATCTTTTTCTCCAATCATTTCATGATCTCCTTTTTCGAAAAGCTTTGCTGCCACTTTCCTTTCTCTTACATTTCCTTAAAGTAGTTTGCATGTAGTTTACAGTAACCGAAAGAAAGTTAAGGTATCCGGGCACTTAACAAAGTTGTTATTGTAACACTGTTAAAAAGTATATGTAAAAATTGAAATTCTTCTCACATTTTGGCTAAAATCTCGGCTGAAAATAGAAATTGAAGCATGAAATAATGAATGCCAACAGATAAGACCTTGACAGACAATAAACGATAGCTGTCACATCGTTTACACAAGTTGCTTAGACACAGTGGCATTGTGCCAAAGCCGCTGTAACTTTTTCAAAAAGAAGAATATTCGCTCCTAAAAAATTTCATACTGAAAATGAATTTCACTCTGTGTCCTAAGTTCGGTGAAGAATTTTGGTAGACTTTAGACTCTCTGGATTCTGGAATTATACCTGTTACGAAGAGTGATAGACCGTTTTTTGTTGTAAATGATCACTTTTTTCACTTGAAATTTAGATTTGCATCAGTATTTTTGAACACTTCCCTGTTGCTATGTTTGTAATATTCTCCTGTAGAAAAACTGTATAGGTTTTTTAGAAATTTATTGTGCACAAAAACAGGGACTATTTTGGGAAACGAAATTGAACAGTCAAAGCAGTACATTTGAGCAATCAAAAACTAGTTGAACATTGAGCAACTGGAGAGGAAAAGTAGAAAAAGTAAGTATTATTCAGACGAAAAGAAACATTATTTGAGAGTGGTAATCTCTACAAACTATCAGTAGTTAAATATATATTCTCAAATCTTTCCTCGTCGCCATCTATAGTTGAAATCTTATAACCGCTGTCACCCTGGAGGTCACATCGTACTTTCACAAAAGCTGCAGGTCCGGGAGGCTTGGTATAGCATGCGTACGTGAAGTCACTTGCTACCCAGCTGTGGACAAAGTACTTCGAGACTTCGTTTATTATCTCAAATAAGAAGAATTGGTCGGTATTATTCATTCGTGTTCTATTATCATATATTACTAGGAACAGCCTACCTGAAGCATAGGGTCTTTTAGACGTTCGACCTTAGTGCTTCGGTACGCCTCTCTTGCGACTTCCCTCTTAAACCAGCTCTAGAAGATTTCTATCGACACGGGATCTCTTGGACTAAGTGGTATCTATTTTAAAAGTGAGGTGTTACTTACAACCAAGTCTCAGTAAAAGCTTTTTGAGATCTTTGCAGATTTTCCATTCGAGGGCCAGTACTCGTCATTGAGGAACCTTTCATTCAGGACGCACAGCAGTTCTTCGACAGTTACTGGCCTACTGGCCCGATGGAGCCCACTGATGAAAATTCGAACTTCGCGATGTATATGGGAGTCAGGTGTGGCTGCATAAGTCTTCCATATCTCGCTCGGCGTGGCTGTTTTTTGGCGAATTGCAAGACGGAAAGAACTTTTTTTGGGCTGCAGGATCTTCTGTGGACTTCGTCTGCGCTAATATATCCTACACCGTGCCTATAGACAAACCGATGAGGACAGCAACAGAAAGTACAGCTGGAGTTGGTCGGAACCCAAGAGCCAAATTGCACGTCCATTGATCACAGGCTCTTACCATACTGATCACAATTTGCCGTCTCTTGTCGTGCAGTTTTGTTACCGTTGTTATCGTCGCAGTTGGCGGAAGTGGTATTTCCTTCAGTCGATCCCGTACTCCACCTTTGGAAACCTTTATGCATCGCCTTAAACTACAGTGGTTTTAAGAAAATTTAGAACCAATAGAAGGGAAAAAACTATTCATTTCTCGCTTTTACTTCCTTTGGAGTCCAGTATCTAAACGGATATATCCGTTAAGCAAGCCCCGACGATGAATCGCCGTCTCTGCATCCGTCTGGTGCGCCACGTCTTGAGCTTCAACAGCCTTCCCACTCTGCGCTTCATCCTCTACCGCCTCCGTCTGGCATGCTGCATCCACTGTGGTTATCGCTACCATCTTCCTGACTCACCTCCCCACCCTCCAGTGTTTCAGCGCATTCTGCCGTCCGTCATGAAACGCATTTTTTTTTTGGAATTAGATGCTGCTTTTGTAGGTAATACACGGCTGGGACGTATTACCGTTCCCCTTTTTTCACTTCCGGTTATTTACTCGTTTTCTTGCATCGGTTTTCTATGTTACTTTATCTGTTGAAAACATTGCATTTGTTGTTTTTGAACCGCGAAATTATGAGAAAAACGATGAGTATCAGTAGTATTATTACTTCATTTTAATTTCTTTTTTTTCCTCCCTTATTACCATTTTTTCAAGAGATGGGTTTCTTTAGACTGTCACATTAACATCTTTCACGCCCTTTATAAATGTTTTGTATACATATTTTATGACTAAGAACTACGCAGATTGTTATATCAAAAGAACTAATAGTTTTCTCTAAAAATAGCACAGCGCAGTTATTGCAGTATGGATTACAGTAAGGCCATATACAAAAAATCAAAAGTAGTCATCAGTTTCTGCTTTCAAATAAACCATCTTTTTTTTCAGTAACATCTGAATAGAAGTATGCGCTGGTACTGTTCCTGTTCCTCTTCCAATCCCCTTTTCATTTTTTGGTATTTCTTATTCTACTAGTATTTTTATCACTACTTCTTATCAGCAAATTAGGTTCCTGTGGAGTGTCACTCTAAGACAGCTTATTTTTCCCAGAGTGGTCTAAACGTCAGAATTTCTTCACACATTCCATAACTCTTAACTACCTAGAATCCTCAGTAAGAAAACTGACAGCTGTTTCCGTGCAACTAACTGAGTTACCGAAGTAATTAAATTCAAAGGTATTTGTAAAAAACAAAAAAGCTCTTACGTTTCTGCTAAAATTCTGGCAGAAAAGAGGCCAAGAAGCAAGAAGTTCTGAAAAAGAAGAAAACATTAAACAGTGGTAAACAAAAGCTCTTCGTCGCAACGCGTGTACTTTAAATAATATAAAAGTTCAGCATACCTTTTCGGATGTTACTACCTTAACGTAGAGGTACCTCCGTACAGCACAGTGGCACTAGTTGTATTTAACAATACGATCTGTTGACGACGGACATTTTTTTTTGCACGCAAATTCCACGGAGTATGCTCTTAATAGAAGTAAAATATTTCAGTGCGGTGTACTAGTTTTTTTGAAAACTTACTGTTTGTAAATGCAGATAGCTTGCTCCTTTGCATGATAAACTGATTTTTTTTGCTTAGTACTTGGTATAGATCAAGTATGTGAAAAGAGTTTGCTATAGTTCTGCTTGCGGCAGTTGTGGCTACGTGCCGTAACTATAAGCAGGTTCATTTCCAATTTGGTGTAAAAATTTTTGCTAGTGAAAATCCTTCCTAGAAAAACTCCAATTGTTTTGGCCCATTGTACCCGGATGTTATTCGACCGACCTTTGTAAAGGTGTGTTAAACCTCTGCGTCACACGTTTGCACGATATGTTATTATTAACATGCTGTTTATTATTGTTTTATCTCTTTGTCTTCCAGACTTTCTTTTTGGCTCTTTTGTTGAGTTTTTAGCGGGAGTGTGACAGGGTTTTCATTATGAATTTGCATCTTTTAACACTTTATTATTATAACCTTGCTCATGTCGCGGAAACATCTGTTTTTTCTTCAATGATCTACTTGAACAGAAGTTAAAAAATGTGTAAAAAAAAACATAAGGTACAGTTGGATGAAAAAAACGCAGTTTTAAATGAGGAACCAAAGAAATAAAACTCTTTATTGGATGGGAAAATACTGCAAAAAAAATGGCGAAAGAAAAAATAATTTCAAAAAAAAAAAGGCAAATGGCGGAAGAGAATAAACGTTTACTATTTTTAATACTCGCGATACAAAAATGGTCCATTGTAGTGAAATTTAGGCAAAGACGTCGAGATACCTTATGAGCGTAGGAGAGCCCACTACGAGTCCCTTTTTGTGTATGTTAGAGGGGATACGGTAACGTCTCTTGCTGGCTGCCGAAAAAAACGCTGGTTTAAGTGTAAGCTAGGGCGTTTTTAACTGACTTATCCTAGGAGTTCTGGGACGTTTTTGGCGTCATTTTGCTCGTCATATTTGTAGCCACATAACAATTGTCAATTTCGCTGGAATCAAAGATAATAAAAAATCGGCAGTTTTTTAAAAACAAGCTAGGTAAACACCGCTCAGTCTGAACTTAAGCGAATATTTTTATGAGTTGCTAGCCATCCCATCACTGTGATTTCGGTTCCGTGCAAAAGAATTTCCACACCAAGTTAGAAATGACGCCACCTACATAAATTTTTATTGAACTTTGCTGCTGTCCTTGCGTTGTTTTTTGGAATGTGATTTGGAGCTACTCTGACTATCCTGTTCCTTGTTCTTCGCTTCGAATAGATGGGAAAAATTTAGTAAGTAGCATTTAACTACGACTTTGGCGAACGCAGTAATAACGGATTCCTTACTAATCCTGCATTTATATACTGAATAAAAAAATGAAAAAACAAAAGGATTCAATCGCGTTCAAAAACAGCCGATCTACTCTTGCAAATAGAAAGTTTTCTAAAGAAATTAACCGTTCCACGCTACTAAATAAAGTTGCCTCTCAAAAACAAAACTGGTGGAACGCAAAAATGGAGAAAAAACAAAATAAAGTTATTTTCACGAGAAACTATAAAAAAAATGTTGGTAAAGGAAGTTGGATCTCATGTCACATTTTAGCAAATATCTCGAAAAGGCCTTGAAAATTAATGTGGTTGATTCAACGGCAACTATATAGCCACAATCTTGGCTGAAACAATAATGCGAGAAGAGCCGTACATTTTTGGAAATATCTCAGGCAAAACCATTACAATTTAAAATATAGCCAACATTTCTTTATGCTGTCAGAGAGCCTGATCACCTAAACCTCTTCCCGCTCTGACGGACAATTTTGGAATAAACTGGAAATAAATTCTGCTGTGAACCGTGTAAGGGAGTTCAATTTTTGATTTCCAGTTAAGGATCTTGGAAGAGAAAATGTCGCTTCTCGTAACCGTTCCGAGCAACTTTAGCTGAATGCCACTGTGTTATACGGAGGCACCTATAGGTTACCCGACCAACCTCCGTGAAGGTGTGCTAAACTCCCGTGTTACACGTTTAAATGATGTTATCAAAAAAAAAAAAAATGCTGTTTTTCACTGGTTTACCTCTACGCTTTCCAAACATCTTTCTTTTTAACCTTTTTTCCGCTTAAAATTTAGCAGAAGTGTGTTTTCACTTTTAACTCTACTTTTGACTCAGTTACTGTAAGGACTGTTAGTTCGGGGAAACATTCGTTAATTTCTTTATCTGCTGTCTACGTAGTCGAGAAATATGAAATATGGAAAGACCATATAAGGTGGGAACTGTTATGAGGAAGAAAAACGTTGTGAAAGTGACAATTTGAAAAAAAACATGATTTTCTATCAAGGAAGTAATGAAAATACTGCAGGAAAAAGATGAAAAAGAGTAACGAAAAAAAGGGAAAGAGAGATATCGTTAGCGTTAATTATTTTAAATTCTGGGCAAGAATGTACCGTGTAGTAGAACTTTTCTCTCCCCCCACAGTGTTCTGATTAAGACTAGTTTCTTTGTTAGGTTCTACCAAATCGTCTCTATCTCGCTTAACGTAAGTAACTTGTCATTTGACTTGCCGTAATAAGTCGCCACCTAGTACGCATGGGTATGGAATCTCCCCCTAATCTTTAAATTTTTTTGATTTAAATTTTTTGAATCGGCTTTGAGTTTCTTTTATGAAGCTTAGTTATCTTACTCAAAACCAGGGACTTAAATCTCTGACAGCAATGTTATGTTTCTACAAGGAATTTAATTAGTCAAACTCTCTTCTATCGTTCCCGAGTGCTTTATTACAGTCCGTCTTCACGACAAATTCAAAGAAAAATTTACTGAAATTAAAACACTCAAATTCTAAATAAAACTTCAAATAAAACCTTTAAGAATCAAGAATAAAAACGTACACAGAAATTGACACTAATAAATCACAAAACCCTTAATCAAGAAAAAAAAGAAAAAATATATTTTAGAAATCAATGAAACTAATAGAATGACTTCGGGAAGACCAATGATTTCGATAAACTAAGAAGTGATAAGACTACAACATCAGGGAGAAACTGTAGAATAGAATGCAACCTTTTTTTGGAATAACTTCAGTTTACTTGTATTAAACCTTTACATTTCTTAATTTTCAAGAAAGAAAAAATTTTTTTATTACAATTAATTTTTTATTAAGACCACATATTTAAGTTTTTCAGCAACTTGTGAAGTTCTTTCAAAGTTCCACTCACTTATGACTATTGTACATAAGATGTTAAAATTTAGAAGCCACGTAACCACTTCCAACGCCTCATTGTAGTGTTAACTGCAACAGCCCATTTCTAATGAGATTTAGGCAAAAACATATGAGTACCCCAAACACGTAAAGCGCAGATTTTTTAACGTAGGAAGAGAGATACGGTAGTGCCCTTCGACGATCGAGTATCGAGAATGCTGACTTGAGTACCAGTTAAAACTTTTCTTGACCTGGGATATCCCAGGAACTCCACGGTTGTTTTAACGTCACTCTGTTCGTAACATTTATTGATGCATAGCTGCTGAATTTCATTTCATTTTGAAGCCGTTGTTCAACCAGTTTCTGAATTTTTATTTAAACGCTGGTTTATTCTCTTCCTTTTTGTTGTTCGTATCATACACCATTGAAAAACCTGAAGATCTAGCATACGGTAGTTGGCCACAATTCTGGCGGACACAGTAACAATAAAATCTTTAGGAATACTAAATCCTGTCTAAAGATTAAGTCAAAGAAATCAGCTGATTACGTTCAAAATAGCCTCTTCCTCTGTAACTCATATATTTTTTAATAGGCTGGGGTTCCCAGCCTATTAAATCTCTTCACATATTTTAAGCACATATCTGGTAGAAAATAAAATTGAAAAAAAAGTCCAGTTCTCGCGTAAAATAAAGTTACTTCTAAAAACAAATTAACAAAACTACTAACAGTTGAAATAAGCTCCTATGCCACATTTCAGAAAACATCTCCGCCAAGGGCCTCACAAATCATCAAAATTAGCACCTTTATGAAGCTAAAGATGTGGCGAACAGAAAAAAGGTGTCCAAATAACTGCAAACCTCTCAGAATAACCCAGGTAAAGACGCCTTAATTTGAAACCAAACGAGCATTTTTCTCAGTCGCTGGCTGCATTACCATACCCCTGGTCTCGCTGAAAAATTCCTCAACTAGAAATTAGAAATGAAAACATACACAATATTTTACGATTTAGGGAAGGAGCCGGCAGTATGAACTTACCAGTCACTATAAAATTAATTACGTAAAGCTCAAACTGGTAAACAAAAAGGCCATATTTCGCAATTTAGTACCGTCAAAACACTGCACTCTGTTGAAGCTCAAATACGATTAAAAGCATGAGTATGGTTGAAAAAAACCGGAATACGATTGAAGGCATTCGAGCACAAAAGGAAGTTTTTTAATCCAAAAACACCAGAATCAAAGACTCAAGCAATACCTTGTAGCTTTTCTTAATATTTAACCTTCACACTGTCTGCCTCCTCCTCGCTACTCATTCAAACCATTCTGAATTAAGTTTCCGTCACTAATATGTACAGCCAAATAACGCTTCTTTCTCTCCTTTACAGCAGTAACGTAAGGGAAAGAAGACATGCAACTAAATTGATTCC